TTCTGATAATTTGTCTTTGAGTTCCGAAATTAGTTTCGCGTGCCGTTCTTCTGCTTCTTTTGCTTCCCGTAATTGAGTTTCAACAATTGCAAGTTGCCCACTGAGATCAGCGATAGTCTCTTTATCGAGTTTCGATGATTTCCCAACTTCTTCCAATTGTGATTGAAGGTCCGTGATCTTGCTTTCAAGTGTTTTAATGGCTTCTTTGCGTTCCGACTCTTTCGTTTCCAAAGTGTTTGCCAGCTCGGCTAAACGTTCAGCGAGCTGGTCACGTTCCTTTTCAATGGACATCATCTGATTTCCCATTTCAGAGACTAATTGATTTCGAGCATTCATCTCAAGTTTTGCATTCGCCAATTCTATTTTCAAAGAGCTAGCATCATTATTATTGACCTCAATTGATGCTTTCAATAATTCAATCTCACTCTCCAACTCTTTGATCCTCTTCTCGTGTTGATCGCGTTGTTGTCTTAATTTTTCGAGTTCTTTCTTGCTAGCTTCGTCCTGTTTCTTGGCCTCCAAACATTTTTCATTCAGGTTGACTAATTCCGACTCGAGAGCTATCACGAGTTCTTTTTGTGCAGTAAAGTCGTCCTTAATATATTGCGCCGCCTTTATTGCTGCTTCCTTTTCATCACTAGTCTCTTGTATTTGCGATTTCAATTGTTCGATCATGATGTTTTGTTTAAATTCTATATCTTTAAGTGACGTGACCTCTTCTCTCATCATTTGTAAATCCTGAGATTGTTTCTCGGCGACAGTGAGCTTTTGCTCCAGCTCTTCGACAGCTTTTCGCAATATCGAATCGGTGGCCTTTGATTCTTCAAGTTCGCCCTTAATAATTGCCAATTCCTCGGAATCTTCTTGGACATTTTTAACATTGAGCGATTCGGATAATCTTCTCTCGAGGTCACTGATTGTCCGACCGTTAACAATTTCCGCTTCCTTAACCAATGCTAATTCGGTCCTCAATTTAATCAGATCATCATCAACATCATAACCTTTCTCAGCCAATCCAGACTCCAAAACGGCTATTCTTTCTTTTTGCGTCACCTCAACCTGTCTCATTCGCTCGATCTCCGCATCGAGTGTTTTTATTCGGTCCATCGTCACCAATTCACGTTCCTTTACTAGTTTAAGCTCCTGCCTAACCGCCTCAATCTCATTTTGCATATATTCGTCAGCACCTTTGCCCGAATTCAGTTTTTCTAATTGAGCCTGGAGCTCTGTAATCTCCTTTTTCATGCTTTCTTCTCGACTTTTGTATTGCAAGAGTTGCGATTGTATTACGATGGCCTCTGATTCTTTCTCTCGCAACTTTTGATTCAACATACCTTTGTCAACCAGCTCCCTTTTTAAAACCTCGATCAATTCATATTTTCGTCTGATATCTACCTTAAGAGTTTCAAGATGTGTTTGCAGTGATGTGATTAATTCTTGTTCAGTCTTTAGATCCTGAGTTTCGCCAGATTTGCTAGTAAAATCTTGTAATGCAGATAATTTCGCTTGTAATACGTTGAAAATTTTTTGAGTTGGGTCCACTAAGTGAAGCACCGAATTTCGCGGTGTCGGAATATGCTGTGCCTCCTTTGCTTTCGCCAATTGTCCTTCGAGATCTTTGACTCGGTCTTCCAGAGCTCTAACATTTTCATCTACATTTTGCTCAAGTTTATCCGACGAAGTAGCATGATTAGAGTTGTGATCGGATTGCACCGAGCGTTCTTTGTTTTCATCACCCTCAGATGCCTCAGGGATTGTACCCAATTTTACAACCGACTCACCCTTTGTTGCAAGTCGATACGCTTCTCTAACTTCTTGCAGCTCATCTTCGAGGCGGCTGATGGTATTCTGATGTTCAGACGTAGGAAGTAAAAGCGCAGCTATCGTATGACTTTTTGATTCAATGCTGGCTTGAAGTTTTTCGACCTGCTGTTTCAAAGCGAACATCTTCTCATCATCTTCCTCGGTCTGAATTGAGTTTTCGTTCTCTACAGGTTTGAAACCTTCGAGGCGAGAAATAGATTCTAAAATCTTCTGTTGTCGTTGGTCATCTTGCGCTTTAGACAATTGCAATTCTAATTCTTTTATTCGTGATTCCAATTCGATCGCGCGTGCATTATCATCGGTCGGTCCATCTGTCGTCTTCTCAGAGTTTGAGTGTAATTCTTCGCGAAGTTCCTTAATACTTGATTCAATCCTAGAGACATCGCTCGTCTCATCATTGACCGTTTGAAGTTCTGAAATATTTTCCATGACCATTCTTTGTTCTTCTTTAAGTTGTTCGATCTCTTCACGAAGTCTTTGCACAACCTCAAGCTGATCGACATCACTTGAAACTAGTGAATGGGATTCAATATTGTGCTCCGACGGGGTTATCATGGACATCACTTCCAATTGAGCCAAGGCATCACGTTTTTTTATTTCCTCACGTAACTCCTCAATAACCTCCAATGCTTCTCGATAGCATATCTCCAGCCTAGCAAATTCTTGCTTTATAGCATCTAAACCATGTGCCTTGTCTTCGTGCAATGACGAAAGTTGGTTGAGCTCGTTTTGGAGCCTTTGAACTACGGCAAAGTGGGCGAGCTCACGTCTCTCGTGACCCTTGATCTCGTTGGAAAGCGATTTCGACTTTCGATGTGAAATGAACCTTGATGCATCATTTGCTTTGCCCAGAAATTCCTTATTTAACTCGCTATAAATGAAGGTTGGCGGAAGGGACATTCGGTCGACTGAACTAGTGGGCGATATCGGTGTCATCGGCGTTGAAGGGGTGTAATTCTTGAGTTCCTCGCTTTGGGATTCAGCAAGTCTAAGGTAGAGCTCGTTAATTTTCGACAGACATTCCTGATATCTACTCTTCATATCATTAAGGTCGTTCACTGTTATATCGTGAGTTTTTTGTAATTCTGACAATCTGGCTTCCAAGGTTTCGACTATCAAGCGCTCTCGTCCATTCGTCAAGTTTGGAATTGATGATCCCGAACTTTCCGAAGTGATGGAGAATGATGAGACATCCCGACTATGGAAATTATCGATTTCCTCGTCTTGAATCTCTGATAGCCTTTTTAAATCCTCCAACTCATTAAGCAGCAACTCCACTTGTTGTTCAAGTTGACTTATTCGTTTATCCCTTTCATCAATATCTTTTAATAATAGTGTCTTCTCTTGATCGGAATTATTTAATTTCAAGACCTTCTCCAATTCTTGGTACTCGAACTCACGTTGTTGCAATTTTTTCTCCAGTTTATCAATGGTCGCTGCGAGTTCTGTCAATTGTTCCTCATTCTTGGCCAACTTGGTCTCGAGATCGTGTATGTATCCTTCGTTATTCGATTCGTTTGATTTCAATTGAGTAATTTTTGATTTCAAGCTAATTATCAAATCATGATCTTTTGCCTGTTCTTTTGTTTGATTATCGAGCCTTGTTTCCAGGTCACTAATATACTGCTCTGTAGTTGATTCACGTTCGTGGAG